GAGAAACTTCTTTCTTTAATTATTTTTCTAATAAGGTCTCTAGGAAAATTATTTTTTACTAGGTAATTCTCAATTAATTGGAGATTATTGTTAAGGAATTCAGAAATGGAAATGGCAATTGCTCTTGATTTCGATATTTGTTGTCCCAACGCCAAATTTGGATTTCAATAAATGTTATCCTGTAACAAATTAACACTTTCGTACAAATAAATCAAATCGCTTTGTCTCGGCCTGTCACTGTATGACGAAGGAGCGCATACAAGTTTCCGATCCTGCTTATTAAACAAAAACCGTGAAACAATAGACGACGTTGTTTCACCTGGCAGAAACAATGCCGTCGGCAGCTGTTTTGTCTGGATGAGATTTACCGCTTAATATAAATAAACTTCAAATCTCGAAAACGATTTGCTGACACGTTAATTTCATCGGTGTGCCGATCATTCTATCTCATACGCTTTTAAAGTAAGCCCTCGAAATTTGAACGGCTGACATTAATTTTTAATTAATTTCACCTTGTGTTTACTTTGGCCGAATGTAAAACTATTCGAAGACTTCGAAAGAAAAATTTTCTCGATTTTGCATGGTGTTTTGCCGTTCAAATGTGTATATTCAGAACATGTGTTTTTTGAGTTTTCTGAACTTTCTTTATTTTCAATGAGTTACCCACATCGTTTCTCAATTTTTTTAAAATTTTCCCATCTAATTATATTTAAATTTGATTTTGCATAGAGGTATGTTAACTAGCCCCATAAAGCGGAGACCACATATACGCGATTGCGACCACGATCGCGATTGCGATCGCGATCAAACGCATTTATCGTAAATACTTTAAGTCGCACATACTTATTACGACCTGTTAGCGATAGAGTGAAAGTCTGCAGCGGTCGATCGTGAGATGGTCGACGATAGGCGATCAAACGCAACAGGTTACGTTTATCGCAGATCGCGTAAAAATGGAAGATTTCACTGAAAAATTAATAGAAGACGTGAAAAAACATAATGTGTTGCATGATATGTCACATGCTGACTACAAGAATGTAAGTAAGTATGGGATGAAATTGCGAAGGAGATTGGAAAACATACCGGTAAGTGAAATATTAATTTTTTCAAATAATAAATTTATTATGAGTAGGTAGTGATTGGGTTTATAAATTACTGAAATGAGTGACAAATTTTTCACGAATGGTAAAAGTTAGGTTGAACACTCTCCTTCCTTCAACTGGAATGTTTTAGCATGCTTGTATTTGTACTGGCCTATCGTTATTTTGTTGTACATGAAGAAATTGTTCGTCAATATTTTTTCCCGTAAAAAGTTATGCAATACGCAGGCTAGGTCACTATAGGGAAATGGTCTCATTAAGTAAGTACTTAAGGTAAAAGCTTCATCGCCTATCAAAACACATGGAACTTCATCATTTTCGCCGGGTAAAGGCCTATCTTGAGAAATATCAAATGTGCAATTTTCAAATCTTCTGACGCCTCAAAAATACCTCCATCACTGTTTTTACCATATGCACCTACATCTATATAAGTAAATTTGTATTCGGAGTCAACAACTGCCATAAGTACAATTGAAAACTTTTTTAAGTAACAAAAGTAATTTGATCCGCTTTTTTGGACACTTGGTGGTCACGTGCTTTCCATCTATACTTCCTAAACAATTGGGAAAGTGCTACAAGTTTTCATAGCCCAAAATTGATTTATCCCATAACTCTTTTGTGCGCTCTGGCATATAAATTGGCTGCAATCTATCCCATATTGCTTTTTCTTCCACAATTATGGCAACGGTTGAAAATCCTAATCGAAAGCTGTGACCAATTGTTTTATATGAATCGCCAGTAGCTGAAAACCTAGAAAAAAGTAGTAGGTTTTAGAATCTCTGATTACAATAACAATATGTTTATTTTAAATTTAGTTTGATTACGGAAATATGCATATGTTGATTGGGAAATGTTTTATTTGCAGGCGAGGACTTAAAAAAACGCTGGAAAAACTTAAGAGATTGTTTCTCAAAGCACTTTACGTTACGAGAAAACCAGAACTGGGCAAGGGGCTAAATCCATTTGTCGCTATAAATCCTGATCATGGGCACAGCACATGGAAGCTTTTAGACCTTTTTTGCAATTTTTTGCAGAGTCCAAAGTAGTATATGAAGGAATTGAAGCAAGCAATACATAAAAAGAAGCTATAGAGAGTTCAGAAAACGTTAACGGAGCCAGTACTGGGACTACTGTACAAGAAACATCGGCACAAATCTCATATATTCGTAATTCAAGCCAGAAAAGAAAAGCGGTAGAAAATTCGGCATCGAGCAATTCATCTAATGTTGACAAAATTATTCACTTTTTGAATAAAAGGCACTCGGATGTTAAAAATAACTACGACAGCATAGATTTAACTTTTCAAGGATATGCTGCAAGCGTTAAAGAACTGTTTAATCGACAATAGTGAAATATAAAATCGCCAAAATCATAATGGAAGAAGAACTGGCTCAAGAAGTGGAAACTCAGACGAAAAGTCGACCGGGTACATGTTTTTCAAACAATTCCACTGCTTCATCTTTTACATCGAATATTATGCCATATGACAACTCAATTTTAAACTCGTCCAATATACGTGAGATTGATGACAATTCTTCTGCTGCAACGTGGTATAAAGATTTTCACCATACCAACGAGTGAAATCCATTTATATTTTTTTATATCACATTATACTTTTCAACTGAATAAAAAAGTAAAGTATTACGAAATAATTATTATATTACCTCAATGTAACTGCTAGTCGTTCTGTTGCCCCAATCGGTTCTCTAAATGTAGTTTGCTCTTTTGTAATGTCGTCCCTGATGAGATTCAATATTTCATCAAAACTTTCACAGTCCGTTCTAAAATATGTGTATAATCGCTTTGCATATTTCCGGAGTTCATAGTATAACTTATGAAATTCGCCTTCTTCTTTACGTTTTTTGTTAATTTCGTGCACCCAAACATTCCGCCTTTTTCTTCTAAAAAATTCATTAAATACTAGTTATTAACAGCCTACATCATATTTAACCAATTTTTGCTTACCGTTGTCTATTATTATCATCTTCATCCAATAATATTGCAAGAAGCAGTGCTTCTTCTTCCAAGTCACACCTTGTTAATAATGCGTCGATTGTAGGTCGCTATCGCATATATGTGTTTGCTTTCCAACGCGATCGCTATTGCCATTGCTGTTGTGATCGCGATCGCGTATGTGTATTCTCCGCTTGATATGGAGGTGTTTCCTTAGTTGACAGTGGCCAGTCAGAAATCCTACTGTTGAGCGTAGGTTGTTCCTGGTCATCGCCAGATATTTCTTCGGAGCCAGGTTCCCTGGGTCGCCCAGGGTGATCCTGACAAGGCTGCATCCTTTGATTCCATCCCATCTCTTTAGGGATTCAGCATGGGTGTGACGTTTGGCTAGTTTCGCAATTGCCGAAGTCATCAGGCCGTAGGTGTCACTGGATCCTAAAATTCTTAGTCCAGCCGCTTCCTTGACTAAAGAGTCGGTAATGCGATTATCTTTTCTCCTGTCGTGCCCTTTAACCCACCTCAGGATAATGTTATTATTTACCGAGGCTTTGGCTAAATCTTGGAGGTATTCTAGTACTAGCCCTGGCATAGTAATTTACATCGAGACGATGTAAATGACGACACCCACCCTGAACGCCCCAGCACATAACCGATGAAAATGTTGAAAATGTTAAGAAAGAGAATCGTCGAATCATTATTAGAGACGTTGCGGAGGATGTTGACATATCAGTTAGCTCTTGCCGTGCAATTTTTTCGGAAATTTCTAACATGAAGGATGTGGCAGCAAAATTCGTTCAAAAATTGCTGAATTTTGACCAAAAAACCGTCGCATGAACATCGATCAGAAATTGTTGAATGACGTCAACGGCAATCTAGATTAGCGTAAAACGGTCATAAATGGTGACGAATCAATAGTATACGTTAATGACATCGAAACCAAAAGTCAAATCGCCCCGATGGAGGAGACCATGAGAGCCAAAACCAAAAAGCACACCAAGTTCGATCAAATGTCAAGGTTTTCTTATTAGTCAGTGGGCTATGCTTGAAGACTGGCAGTAAACAAATCTAAAGAAATGAACTCTAAACGTTCAAGCTAGTCTCGGATATATCTACAGAGTAGGTTGAATGGACTGACGCCTATCAGAAAACAACTACTCCCCTGTCAAGGTTTTGCTCATTGTTTCCTTCGATTATTGTGGCGTAGTGAATCAGGAGTTCTTGCTACATGGTTGTACGGTCAACAAGGAGTATCATTTTGAAGTTATGCGACGCTTTCCAGAAGTAATACGAAAGAAACGTCCGGTATTGTGGAAAAACAATTCATGTCTTTTGCATTACGATAATGCACCTGCTCACTCGTCATTGCTTGTTCGAAATTTCTTGGACAAAAACAACACATGAAAGGATGGTGTTTTGCGACGATTGATGAGATGAAGACCGAATCGCTGAGAGAGCTCAAAGACATACCAAAAAGTGCATATCAGAACTGCTTCCCAGCGGGGGGACTACTTTAAGGAGATAAAATAGATATTTGTGAATACACAGATATTTTTTGAGAAAAATTAAAATTCACCTTAGATTAGATAGCGTTTGTTAGTTGTTTTCTTCAACCAATTGAGCTGAAAGTTTGAATAACAATGCATGGTTAGTATGCCAATTGACTAGTATGGCGGACCGCTATGATAGTGGACCAGTTATTTTTTATGCACCTCTATGATATGTTCATCAAATGAAAGGGTTCTAGTAAAAAAATCTATATGGTGGAGAATAATATGGTCACCATATGAAATCTAAAAAGTTATAAGTCGGCAAAAGTTAGGGATTGTTTTCTTATTCTTTTTTAAGCATGTCAATAATTAACGCTTGTTTTTAAAAATGATTTTCAATATCAATCTTTGTCGAAATATTCAAAATTTGTATTGTTTTCTTCATATTGAATTTTTGATATTCATATTATGGCAGTGCCTAAAAGAACGTAGTTTTCAGTAAACTTTTTCATTTGATACCCATATTGAGGTGGTTCATAAAAAAACTGGTCCCCAAATTTTGAGCTACTCGCCATATTTTGAGCGGTCTGCCATATTTCAAGCGGTCCACCATATTGAATTTAGATTGACCGACATAGCGCCAATTCGCACAGTGTCTCCTACAAGTCTCTCCTTTGTGAACAAATGGTGAAATGTACCTAGAGTGACATGACGGGAAGAGATGGCCGCCGGCGCCAAGTCGCTTCTATGTGCATTGGAATATTTGTTTACCGAGGAGAGACGCGGAAGAGACAAACGTCTCCCGCTCGACGTTCGTTATGTGTGAATTGGCGGTCATGGAATGAAATATTTACTACAAAGAAGTCAAACGACTAATAAGCGAATGTTTCATGCATGCACTTTATACTTGTTGAAAACAGTGATTTATGAAAAATTTTCAAAATTAATTTGGTTCACCTGTGAGTCACGTGTGGTTTGGCTAAATCATTGAGCAAAAATTAAAAATATGCTGTCAACTGAAATGTCTAGACAAAATACATAATTTCGCCCTTCTAGATCAAATATCACTTTAAAGTGCAAAAGAGCTCAAACGAATATGTCTAAAGCACCAATCAATGTGATGTGTTCAGATGCTAATAAATTGTCAAATATGTGTAATATTTTTAACTGCAGTAAGAGTGAATTAAGAAATAGATATCGAGCACATCTATAAGTAATTTGGGAATCAATCATACATGTAAACTTTTTTTTTCTTTTTAGTTTTTGTTGTATCCATGTCATCTTTTATTTGTTGTAACACTGTCACTACATACTTCTTATTTTATTGTATTTGGTATTCTTTAAAAATTTCCTTGTAAACGGTTTCTGTTGGGCAATGAATGCTATATTATTATTATCATTATTTCAGAATAGATATCTTCGTTGATTTCAAATTTTTCATATTGAAGTGATATATTCACAAAAGTTAAATATTTGCAATGATACACTGAGTCATTCGAACTGAGATACGAAATATATGTCGATGAAACATTTTTGGGTAGGTAAAGAAAGATGTTTCATTATTTCAGAAGTAATAATGTAAATCTCCATCGACTGACATTCGCTTTGGAGCGATAAATTAAAACCTAATCACCCATGAATAATTTATCTAGGCGGAGTTCTTAATAGAGAACGATTGTTGGTATATACCGATCGTCCCATCACTTCAATAGAATATGAATATTTCAAAATATACCGCATATTATTGTGACACTGAATAGTGTAGAATTGATATGTATTGCAATGTTTATTATAATCTACACTATTCAGTGTCATCAAAATATACCGCATATTATTGTGACACTGAATAGTGTAGAATTGATATGTATTGCAATGTTTATTATAATAATTGAACTTAAAATACAAAAATTCGAATTTGGAAATGAGTGTTTTGGTTTGTTTCCGAGTCTTGCTGTGGTCTTCTTTGGTTACAATCTCCAAACGTTTCAACTGCAACCGCGGCAGTCATCTTCAGTGGCGTAGTCGAAGTACTTTTCTTGACGTATCATTTGATACGTCAGAGATTGTCACCATGGCAAAACTTTGAAAGTAAGTAAAATATTGACAACACCCCTGAAAGCCTACATTCCTAAATATTGGAAATGATTTTTTTGTTGGCATTTAAAAAATCTGAACCTCTATCCAGAACGATTTTTATAAATTATAAACCTTTGAAAGCTAAACTCATAACCATCTAGACAAGCGTTTCTCAAACTTTTTTGCCTGAGGAAAGCTTTTAAAGCAGATCACTTTCCCAACAAAGCTTATTTCTATATTTATGTTTTGAATATACAAGTGGAGACTGCCCTGTCACACAAATATGTCATTGAAAATCCCATAAGCTCTTTTAAGGATATGTTCGAAAGAACTGGATACTCTCCCCTAGCCTTTATCCAACATGAGAAAAACAATTCAAAAGTATTAAGTGTTTTTGATCTGTTTCCAAGACTCACCTAAATTTCCCCTGCGAGCCACTAGTGGGTCACGACCCATAGTTTGCGAACCACTGATTTAGACTATATAAAAAAACATACATACAGTCTTTTGGTGAGGTATCTAGGATGATGTTTATTTTTTATTCATAATAATTAGTTATTTTTGTCATATTTATTCTAGAACGGAAAATGCATAGGCATGAAACTGATATTATTTATTCTGAAATGAAACTGATAATGAACTTTTCATTGAAAATTACACTGTTTATGAATTGAGTCATGTTTTATTCAATTTTGCATTTCATAAGTTTGTGATCAGGAGAGTTGGTAGTTTTGTCATATATGTTTTTTTTGTATTTTATTGTATTTTAGGAGACATTCATTTCTGGGATAGAAGTTTTTGGCCTTCTCCTTCTCCATCTTGATACCAAGAAATGTGTGAATCTTCCAAAGAAAGGAAGGAAGCAATCAATTTCAAAAATTACCTCTATACATAGATGTGTAGATCAAGCAAAGAAGTAAAATTTACGCAAACTGGAAGGAAAAAAAGCCCTTTCGAAACAGCCATTTTCATATAAACATTGAATTACACGAAAGAAACATACTTTCGAAACAAATACTTTTATATGAACGCAGAATTATACGAAAAACACTTTTCTCTATTCCATTTGTATTCCAAACATTCGTATAGGATCGATCCAGTTATCATTCACAGGATTTCTACAAAATATAACTTACATGGAGCACTGTCATCCTCACTGCTTCCTTCCTTTCATTGGAAGATTCCCACATTTTTTGTATCAAGATGGAGAAGTAGAAGCCCAAAAACTTTCTTTGCCAAAAAACAGCTTTCACGACCGGTGTCACGATTCAAGAGAACAAAAACCGTTTATCAAACCGTGGTCGATTTATTGTGGAATTCTTGATGTGATCTTCTCAGTTTAGTTTTCTGTCAAAAATCTTTCCTAGGAATCGTTCTGAATCTTTTTTCGATAGTTTTCTGTTGAATGAAAAAAAGAGGTATCTGATTTAGTTGTTTTTTTTCGGAATATCATATATTTTGTTTTCTCAGTAGAAAAAGTGAGACCAGTTTTGTTTGACCAGTTTTCAGTCTCGAGGA